AACAGAGCCAGAGTGACCCCTGTCTCCATGAACATGGTGGGCTTTGAAGTGTAGGGAGCAGTGGGTGGTGTTCCAGGAGGCTGAGGCAGGCAAGGGCCAACAGCTGGCCAGGTGAGGCTAACTAGTTTTAGATTTGTGATTCCTCAGCTGGAGTAGGCTTGGAACAGGTGAGGGTCACATGGCTCATCAAGCGCAGATGCTGCAATCAGCAGGCAAAGTGAAAAAGGGCAGAACTGAGGTTCCTGATCAACTACCCATGTTGATGGTGCCAGGATCTCTGTGGGACACTGGGCATGTGGATTAAAACTGGACTGGGGATTTGACATACTGACTTGCAGGCCAGGGGTTCAGGACACCTTGTGATCTTTTTGTAATGTGGTTGTTTTTTTCCCTAGATGGTGCATAGCTGCCCTGCTTGTGGACTTATCAAAGGCAATTAGGGGAGGCGGGTGTCACAATGGGAAATGGAATGTAGGACTAGACTGGCCTTTGGTCTGACTCAGCAGGGCTCTTCTGGCAACTTTATGGTTCCAGCATAGTCTTCTTTTCCCCAGCATGCTACCTGCCAAGGTTCAAGGGAATTTTTTTTTATTTTATGGAAGAGCTTTCAGGCATTTGAACCTCCAACTGGCAATATAAAACAATGCACCTCAAAAGCAAGCTCGCTGCCACCACAATGAGAACTAGGCAACTGTCCTGTGTGTTGGCTACTTTTGGTCAAGAGCAAATTTAACCATTCACATCACGCCACTGCCATTTTGCACCTACACAAAACCAGCCTTGAGAGGCATTCTCCTTGCACAACCTTGAGTTGATTTCCTATCCTTTAGCCCTAACAACATACATATAATCCCCTATAAAATGATTTAAAAGGTGCTTATCCAGGAAAAAAAAATCTTAAAGGTTAGATTAAGACCACCCCAAAACACACTGCCAATGCTTGGACTAACCCAACAAAATCTTGTAGCCAACACATCCATGACTCTCTCCTGAACAAAACGGATTGCCGAAGGGAGGGGGTATTGGGAGGAGTGTTGCTTAAAGGTAAAGGTAAAGGTACCCCTGACCGTTAGGTCCAGTCGCTGACGACTCTGGGGTTGTGCACTCATGTAGCTCTATAGGCCAAGGAAGCTGGTGTTTGTCCACAGACAGCTTCCGGGCCATGTGGCCAGCATGACTAAGCCGCTTCTGGCGAACCAGAGCAACGCACAAAATGCCGTTTACCTTCCCGCCAGATTGGTACCTATTTATCTACTTGCACTACTTGCTTTCGAACTGCTAGGTGGACAGGAGCTGGGACCGAATTCTGATCGGCAAGCCCTAGGCTCTGTGGTTTAGACCACAGCGCCACCCATGTCCCCTTAAAGACTCCTAAAACCATTGCTAATGCAATTTCTTTACCTCTTTCTGAGTCAAAGAGAGATATGTTCTTCTGCATTGTTGGAGTTGCCTGATTGTATGTGGAAAACATACAACAGATAGGAAGAAAACAGGAAAGGAAACGACAAACACCACTTTCTTAAGAACCTAAAGACATGGCATCTTTTCTCCAATGGAATGTGTTACACTCGTGGGGTTGCATGCAGTATAACAAAAATCACTTGAATACATCAGACTTTGTTTAACACTATCATATAAATAAGCTTATTCCTTCTACTAGGCATGTGATATGCCTTTTTTTCTTTTTTGTAGTCCATAATTATATATACATTGGAGGAAAGGAAGGGTTTGATAACACAAGCAGCAAAATAGACTAGAACAACTCAGTGGTTAAGTAAAGACTGTTCTAACCAACTTTCCCCTCCCCAGTTTTCTATACAAAAAAAATTCAGCATATAAATAATCTTTTTTTAAAAAAAACTTTAGAAATTCAAAGGATAAACCAAATGGGCTAGCTGTCACGCAGATTAACACACTTTAAAAGATATCGCCAGACATAACTGGACCAAATGTTGACAGAAGGAAAATAACACTCATGTAAAACGTGGCTGGTTTTGTTTTAAAAGGAAGAGTAAAGCATTGCTTAGATTTTCCTTTTGAGACAAGAGTTGTAGAACTAATGAACAAGTGTTAATTCTGATCACCAGCCACAACCAGGTCAGACTCTTCAATGTATTTGGCGTCACTGTACACATCACGCTTCCTTCTTCAAACAGAACATCCCATTCTGAACTGATCAAAATTTGAGCTGGGGCTCCCCAGTATTTTTTAAAATGGAAGAACATCTCACAATATTGTAAACAACAACAATCACAAATACTGAAAGAAGATAAAAGCAAAAGTAAATGCTTAAAAAAAAATCCACAGTTTTGTTTGTGTGTGTGTGTGTGTGTGTGTGTGTGTGTGTGTGGTGAGAGACTTCCTTTTAACTTGCAAATGCAACAAAGGGGTCCTGGCTTACTAGCTTGTTGACTGGTAAAGGGGCCAAGGACTGTGGCCAGAGGGGACGTGCAGCCCTAGAACAACCCCTCCCCAAGATCTTCCTTTTGGTAGCTTCTGCAAGAGGCACACACCAAACTGTGAACCCCCTTCTTCAAAATCCTTCGCTCTCTTGTAAACACCAAATTGCCACCTGATTAGAGCAGGAAGCCTAAAACGGTCTCCTCCCTTTGCTGCTCTGCTTGACAACTTATTTTTAATGGGATGGCCAAGTGCTGAAGGGCCAGCAGCATTGCCTTCACCTCCTTACCTACTCCAGTGAGAGTCAAGGCCACAGGCAAAGGAGCTCTTTAATTTTCTTCCTTAACTGCAATGGGAACAGCAATAGAAGTCTTGGCAGAGTCCCTCCTTTTGAAATGCACCACTGTGTGTTTTGGTTCCCACATGAGAGGCAGGGAGGGTTTACTGTTGCTGCTTACAGGAAGGAGCTCTTCATTTGTGTGGGGGGCAATGGGTGCTATGCAGAAAAGACGAGAGAGCTGTCTGCTGGCGGAGCCAGATGGGAAACTCTGGTCTGATCGTAGTTCCTGTACCGCAGCCTCCTCCAAATATTCTGGACTATAACTCCCATCAGCCCCAGCCAGCATGGCTAATGGTCAGGTGTGATGGGAGCTGTAGTTCAATAACAGTAGGCAATAACTAGGTTGGGGAAGGCTGCTGTAGAAGAAGAGAGATGAAGGCTTAAGAATGCTAGTGGGTTAATGAGAAGGGGTAGAGCAGTGTTTCCCAACCTTGGGCCTCCAGCTGTTTTTGAACTACAATTCCCATCATCCCTGACCACTGGTCTTGCTAGCTAGGGATGATGGGAGTTGTAGTCCAAAAACAGCTGGAGGCCCAAGGTTGGGAAACACTGGGGTAGAGGGTGGTGAGCCAAGGGCCACCAGACAGACAGCAAGTCCAGTTGTCTTCATAACGCCCCCCTCTACACGTAGCCTTCTTGCCTCTGAGTGAGGAAACCAGAGCTCCTTGGGTAGCTGGATTTTTATCAAATGAAGCTAAATGTTGGAAGATTCAGGACACAGTTTTTAGTGATGGCGGCCAACTTTGATGGCTTTCAAAGAGGATCAGAAAAATTCATGGAGGATAAGGTTCTCCATGGCTACTAGCCACAATGTATATTTTCTGCCTTCACTGTCAGAGGTGGTATGCCTCAGAGTGCTATTGGGCTCTGGTCTTGCTTGCTGGCTTCCCACAGCAATCTAGGTGGCCACCGTGAGAACAAGTTGCTGGACTAGACAGAGCACTAGTCTGATCCAGCAGGCTCTTCTGTTCTTAGGATTTTATAGAATCATACAATTGTAGAGTTGGAAGATACCCTGAGGACAATCTATTCCAACCCCCTGCAATGCAAGAATATGCAGCTGTCCCACACAGGGATCGAACTTGCAACATTTGCATTCTCAGCACCATGGTCTAACCAATTTGGCCCAGTGTTCTCTAGCTGCTGGTCCCGAGGGGGCGGGCAGGGAATCAAGCTTAACAACTCTTTGGCCATGCTTGCTCCTTTGACAGACAGTCGTGACCTTTTACATCATGTCTTAACCTGCTTTATGGGGTGGAGGTCATATGATAGGAATGTGGAGGGGGAGACTAGAAGACAGGTGATTTTTGTTTGTTTTTAAAGAAATAGGCAGAAGTAGTAGATGCTGCAGAACTAAAAATCAAGAAGCAGCTGGGAGATTGGGGTGGGGTGAAGGAACACACATACTTGTATGTTCAAAGAGCATGTCCAAAGAGTCGCTGCTTTAAGATTAAAATGTTAATATTTTTTTAAAAAAAAACAACCCACAGATTTGTATAAAACACAAAAAATGTACCTGAGAGTGTGTATATTCATATATATTCATATTTATATATATTTATATTTATATATATTTGCCAACGTTTAAAAGGTGAGAAAAGCAATATTCTGTCCACAACTCACTCTCTCTAAAAGAACAATGTGGGAAATGAAGGAGCAGGAGAACCAAGCAAAAGAAGAAGAAATCCGCAACCTGCAAAATTAAATGCACACACACACACACACACACACACACACACACACACGGGGGGGCGTGTAGGAAAACTATAAGCTGAAAAGTGAAGGTTAGCAATGCCCCAGCTGAGTAACAATATTGCTGTCTTATATGCCTTTGTTGTCAAGATGGCGCCCAAAGCAAATTTAGAAGAAGGCATCTGATATGCAGAGTGGTGTGTGTGTGTGTTTGATGAAGGAAGACCCACAGGAGATTGGCTGAAGCCAGCAACAAGCCAACTTGTGATGTCATCACAGGGTGACACCCAAGAAGGGAAAATCCAATTCACTGAGGGTTACAGAAGCAGCCTTTGCAACAGTGAGAAAGAGAGGAATGCTACAAACGAGTGCAAACCTCTTGCTATTGTTCAGAGTGGTGACTGTGAACAGGGATAAATGGGTGCAGTCTACCTATGCCCCCTTGCCTCTGAGGCCTATTTCACTCTAATGATGCCAGGACCCCACAGATCCTCTGAAGAGCCCCTATCCAGACTGCAATGGAACACGCTCCTTAATGATGGCTTTCCAACACACAACAGCCGATAAGAAAGAGAAAATATATGTTTAAATAGTACCCAATATATAAAGCAGACCGTAAAGGTGTCTGTTTAAAAAGAAAATGGTAAAAAAGGGGGTGGGGAAATAAGTTGAAAAACGTAGCTCTGTTGACAAATATAGTTAGTTATTTCCACATAATTAATATTAATATATAGCTTGCAAGGAGGTGAGGAGTAAAACATATACAGGCTACATGAATGCAATCAAATAAAAACAACCCCCCCCAGCCCCACCCCGACATAGCACAATACAATCATTAAAAAGTTCTGAATTATACGAGAGGTAGCAGCTGTTTATATTCCCGGAGTCCAGAACCTTCGAACATTGCTCCCCTGATGATGGGCTTGTGTGCAATGAGGCAACGAATGGGACAAGCTGGGTGTCATAGCCTTATTGTTTTGCAGCATCTCTTCCAGTTACCGCGGAGGAAGGGATCCTTGCCAGAAGTGCATTGACAACCTGCGTTCAAGCACTGCTCGTGATGATAGCTATGGCTGTTTGCTCTTGTGCACGGGTGTTCTTGTACAAGCCAAACTTTAAATCCACAAATTAATAAAGTAAGCTACACAGTCCCACATAATATAAATAGTGTTAGGTTATTATTATTATTGTTATTAATCTTAGTGTTTTCATATAACTCCTAAGATGGGTGCTAGCAGAATATTAATGGAGTAGCAACAAGGTTAATAAGAAGAACACTTTTCTTCCAGAGTGTGGCAGCTAAAAAGGCCTCCTTCATATTGGGATGGTTCGCAAACGGACGGCAGCAGGGGGTCCATTTCATGTCTGGTAGAAGTGGTGATAGTGGTGGTGGTGCTCGTGGTGGTGGTGGTGCTCGTGTCTCTGAATCATCTGCCCCACTTGGCCTTCGTACAAGATGACAGCGGGCAGGTCTCTCACGTGCTCTTTTTCGAAAACTGTCCCGGGGGGCTGGAAGGTTTTGCAGACTTGGTGAGTCTCTTTGGCCCTCTGCTTGTGTTTCTTGTAAGCCGGCTGAGGCTGCATGGGGAGATAAGGGAGGTTCGGGCCCAGCCGCGTGGTGGGGGAAGCCATCGGCACGGAGGCCCCCTGGGCAGGCTTACTCCTTACGGCCCTCCCCGCGTTGGCGGAAGAGGCATTTCTGCCCTGAGCTTTGGGAGACTTGGCAAAATGCCTGCTCGCATCTTGGCTCCGCAGCCTCTGCTGTATCTCTGCAAGCTTTGCGTAGGAGGCTTCCATCAAACTGACGTGGCCGGGGTCCGCTGCTGGCGATCTGCGCTGGTGGGCGTGGAAGATTTCTGGCTCGTGGGAACGGGACCTTGTTTGGTTTGCGACTCGGATGGGAGGGTCGTGTTTTTGAGCCGCTGGTGGTGATCCTGAGAAACAAGAAGTAGAGCACTTGGTCATTTTAAGCCTCTAAGTACTGATATGACAACAAAAGCAGGAAGCAGCTGAAGTAAAATAAACCAATGTACCAAACAGAGGATGAGCTAAATAATAATAATAATATTAATAATAATGTTTGTTTGTTTGTTTGTTTGTTTGTTTGTTTAAAAGCAGCTCCCTAGCAGCTGTATTAATGATCATTTTTACACTTGGTTAATAGAGTTGAAAATTTTAGTTTAGTTCTCAAGTTCTCACTGGGTTCCAGTTACTTGAGCACTTACAAGTTTAAAGATCCAATTTTAACAACAATAAAAAGGATGGTCGGAATAGATGAGATCTAAATTCTTATTCTTATTATTGCATTTATATCCCACTTTTTCCCCTGACAGGGACTCAAGGTGGCTTACAGCTAAAACACAAACAACTAAAAAAAGAAGGAAAAATCCAATAATAAATAAATAGATAAATATTAAGTGTGTGTGTGTGTGTGTGTGTGTGTGAGAGAGAGAGAGAGAGAGAGAGAGAGAGAGAGAGAGCGCATGAGATATTAAACATATAGATCATTACAATAGCTTCTCTAGGGAGCAGCTAAATTATAGAAAATGCATAATATACCTGGCCCAAATTTTGACGTATAGTTTTCTATTCCTGCAAGATCCAAATAGTGGTTTCTCCTTTCAATATTTTCATCAACACAATGACGATAGCATCCATTCTGTTCAGTTTTGGCTTCACCATGGTGGTACCTGTGAGAAGGAAGGGAAATTGCAATGCACATATTATTATATCCAGATCAGTGAGCACACACTGAAATGATAAGCTTTGTTTTGAAGTAACAGACGGTCAGTGCTTCTGGGAGCAATGCTCCTACAAAATTCACCCTTGGAATTCCTTGCAATGCCATATTCAATAGTAGCACACATGTAATGTTGCTGGGGCCCCAGCACCCACAGGAAGCTGGGAACAGACCTTGGAGGGTGGGCAGACAGAGCTAGGCAGACCTATGCTTCAAAACAATTTTAAGTATTTTACTGTTTTTAACAAGTTTGCTTTTATTACTTTGTATTTTACAATGGTGTTTTAAAATGTTGTAAGATCCCTTCAATCCCAGCTTGGGAAAAAGGCAGGATATAAATACTTAAAATAATAATAGTTGGCCATGGGGTACCCCTCACAATCCTAATGTATTTGGCAAAGGGGAGACTGCAGGTAAAAACTCCAGGAGATAAAGAACACACTCCTGATTAGAGGGGGAAATAGTTTTAATAAAGCCGGATCAACTGTTGGCTGAATAAGTCCATCTCTCTTTCCTGTTCAAGCACTACCATTTCATATATAGCAGAGCTATTTCCTGAGAATGAATTTCTGAAATACCAGTCATTTATGAGCCAAACAAGGAAAGGAAAAATGGGAAGAATCTTAGCTTTAACAACGATGAGGCCAAGAATGTGGCACAATAAAATGCACTATGTCCCAACAGAACGACGTCTACATATGTAAACAATTTATTTAAAAGAACAAAAACAGACAAGTCATTTTTTTAAAAAAAAAGACACAAAGCCTGACCCTTTCATGGAGATTTGTGTAACTGCTAAAATGCAACAGAACAGCCTCAGATATGCAGATGACACAACTTTTGATGGCAGAAAGTGAGAAGGAATTAAAGAACCTCTTAATGAGGGTGAAAGAGGAGAGTGCAAAATATGGTCTGAAGCTCAACATCAAAAAAACTAAGATCATGGCCACTGGTCCCATCACCTCCTGGCAAATAGAAGCAGAAGAAATGGAGGCAGTGAGAGGTTTTACTTTCTTGGGCTCCATGATCACTGCAGATGGTGACAGCAGTCACGAAATTAAAAGACACCTGCTTCTTGGGAGAAAACCTAGACAGCATCTTCAAAAGCAGAGACATTACCTTCCTGACAAAGGTCCATATAGTTAAAACTCTGGTTTTCCAAGTAGTGATGTATTGAAGTGAGAGCTGGACCATAAAGAAGGCTGATCGCCGAAGAATTGATGCTTTTGAATTATGGTGCTGGAGGAGACTCTTGAGAGTCCCATGGACTGCAAGAAGATCAAACCTATCCATTCTGAAGGAAATCAGCCCTGAGTGCTCACTGGAAGGACAGATCGTGAAGCTGAGGCTCCAATACTTTGGCCACCTCATGAGAAGAGAAGACTCCCTGGAAGAGACCATGATGTTGGGAAAGATTGAGGGCACAAAGAGTAGGGGACAACAGAGTGTTCTTGAAGCTACTAACATGAGTTTGACCAAACTGCAGGAGGCAGTGGAAGACAGGAGTGCCTGGAGTGCTCTGGTCCATGGGGTCACAAAGAGTCTGACATGACTAATGGACTAAAGAACAACAACAAAATGCAACAGAGATGACTTTCTTTGCACATACCCCTCTCAATAGCAAATTGGTAGCCACTGAATTTATTACTGTACAGTGGTACCTCAGGTTACAAATGCTTCGGGTTATGTGTTTTCAGGGCTACTTCCGGGTTTCACCGCTTGCACATGCGCAGAAGCGCCAAATCACATCACGCGCGTGTGCCTCCATCACAGATTACATCCGCAACCCAAGGTTCCACTGTATTTTTACAGCCAGGACGTGGAAGAGGCATTTGTAGAATGTTTTCAGGTGTAAGAATAAGAACCTGGCTACCTTGAGTACTACGCTCTTTGACTTGTATAGGGGGCATCATTTGCTGATCCACTCTGGCAGGAAACATAGTGGGCCAATCCTGATCAAGAGATCTCCCAATTCCTGGCTAGGAGCATCATGCCAAGTTTCTCTAAAAATGCTATCTGATTGTTGTCTTGATTATTTTCGTCCAAGGTTGGACTAAGCTATGATTGGGGGCCAACATTAGCAACTGGCATCTTCAGGCAACTGCTGGGGAATCAGAGGCCTGGCAGGGTCCAATGGTGAGAGAGGTCCACCCTTAGTAAGCGGCTTCAAGGCACCATGTTAAACTTCCCACATTGCTGTGGAGCAACGCCATCTTGGGGGCCACTGTGGGAGATATAAAATGGTGGCCACCCAGTAGCAATTGAAAGATCACTGCTGCTACCAGATAAGCCCATAGAGTGGGTGTGGGGTGCAGGAATGGGCCCATAGAGGATAATATGTCAAGGGCTCCCCTTCAAGCCTGGGGCAAGCTTTAGATCCCTATCCATGTCACACCATTGGCTCCTGATACCAGTCACATTCCAAGTTTGTTTATTTATTGCATTTATAGCCCACCTTTTCCTCCAAGTTGCTCAAGGCAGTAAACATGGTTCTCCCTCTCCTCATTTAATCCCCACAACAACCCCGGGTGGTAAGTTAGGCTAAGAAGCAGTTACTGGCCCATGGTCACCCAAACTAGAACCCTGGTCTCCCAGGTACTAGTGTGACACACTCTAACCACTACAGCACCCTGGTTCAAAGATCCGTAGCAGACATAGAGAGAGGGCCTCAAAAGTTGCCCATAACTGTGCAAAGTCACCAAAGCCCATTTCTGAGAATATCTGCAGACGCTGTTGTTGTTCTATAATAGTGCATGTAAAAAAACAGAGAAGCAGGCAAAGAAGATGTAGGATTGTTTTAATCTGTTCTACGATGGTTTTTTAGATGGCAAGCGGGCATTCAACTCGGCACTTTCACTGTGCTGCATTCTAAATGTGTTGCTACCTGCACAGTGCCCCGAGGACAAGGTGGGATAGACATCAAAAATACATGAATAAAACTGATGAAAAGGCATGATATTGGGGCAAATCTTAGCCAAATGCTTCTCTTTGCTAATCGTTGCCAACAACATGACAAGATGTTTTTCAGGGAAACAAGGTCTCTTCCCAGACTGGCATCCAAAACAATATTGTGCATTCCTTCAGGGAGATACAACTTCAAATAAATCCTGTTTTATCTAATCTTTTCAAGGCTGCAAGTATACCTGCAGCTGTGCATGAAAGAGACCACTGTCTCTCTGCTTTGCTGGAAACTGATGCACCCTGAGTCACACCAGAAAAATAACACACACGCACACACACACACTTTTTTATTATTCTCTGAAGGGCATTTCTCAAAATTCTTTTTAAAGCACAGATCATCATTTTCCTTAAATGGTTCACAAGAAATCTTGCTTCCGATCTTCATACTGTACATTGTTGTTGCCTGCCAGCAGAAACTCATGCTGCTATAAATCTGTTAGCCTTTCAGGTTCCAAAGGGGTCTTTGTTAGTTTTGCTGCAAAAGATCAACTCTGGCTACCCCCTTTATTGTGAAATGCAGTTGCCAGGAGGTGAGAGGGCTCTGGTTTGGATCTGGACCTTAGCAGTGGGGGTGGGAAGGAGGTTAACCCTTTCCTCCAGGCGGTTTTCCCAGTTGAAGCTGCCTTGATGCATACAATTATGAGTCCTGTACTGTATGTAGCATGAAGGTAAGTTACATGTGTTTACTTGTAGCTGGCAAATATCTTAAGATGGGCAATACCTACAAGAGAGCAGCGCAAGCAAAGAAAGATTGATGGTGGCTTTAAAGAGTGGTTGAAACATAGGTATTTCCTTATCAATAAGCTTTTCATGAGGGAAGTGAGGATTTGGCAGCAGCTGGCAAGGCAGCCTCTGAAGCAAGGTCTGGAGAAAGCTGGACACCTCATTACTGAAATGGAGCATGCTGTTAAGCCTGTAATGCTTGGAAGTCTAACTACAGGGGCGCAGCCAATCAGATGGGGCCTTCTCACCAGGTTATCTCCTGGCTGGGTGAATCAGGTGGCAAGGCCGCGTTTGATAGGCTCCACCCATGTTGTCCCAAGATTCTATGCATCATTATGGCAACACAGGAGCAAGCTGACACAGCAGCATTTGATGTGAGCCCAACTTCTTTTTCTTTAGCAAAGAATTATACACCGCTTAATGAACAAAAACTTCTAAATGGTTTCAAAAAGAAATAAATAAAATAAAACATGCATATGAAGATCAAAACAACAAGGAGACATAGCATTTGGATAAAACCAGCAGAGCTTTAAAAATCAAATATGCATAATAAAATGACAGGTCTGAGTAGGCTTGCCTAAAAAACAAATTTTAAATCCTAAGCCTCTCAGGGCTGATCTTAAAGATCCCTAATCATGAGACAAATGAAGAATTGCTCCAGCTCACCTGAGGGAGCCCCTCTGCTTCTTCTCACAACTCCTCAGTTCTTCATTGGCCTTGCTTTCCGTTCGGTGCCTCGAGCTCTGAAGATCTGCCCCCACAACACATACACACAAAACCATGTTCATTTTCCTATTGTTATCATTTTAACCATTTCCCCCCATTGTTTTCAGAATGAACATACAACAAACATCTTCCCTCATCAAGAGTGCTATATCTTGCCATTTCCCTCTTATTATTGACATTCTTACACGGCTTAACAAATGGGGGCCATCTACCATTTAAATGAACTGAGCAGGGGAACATCATCTTCTCCATGACCACACATGGAGGGAGTGGAAGATCCAGCATCCACAGAAGCATTCTCTAGTTTTGTGTTATGTGGAGGGGGAGAAATGTTTGGGAGTAAAAGGACAAAAGGGATTTAAAGGAGACTGGGGATCAGGATCCCAAAAAGATTCTCCAGTTAAAAGGATCAGGCAGTAGGTGATATGAAAAGCTGCCCATCACAGATGGCAAAACTGGTTTAGATGGACAGACAACCAACCTGGTAAGTCAGTTTTATATGCTTCTGCATAATGAGTTGACAAATCCGCCATCAGAAATTCAGAATCAAACTCTTACCAGCATGGTTCAGTAGGATACTTTTCTTCTTCTGACTCCCATCTGGAGCTACGGTGAGCTTCACCCGCAAGGTTTTACTGGAGCTGGGAGAGTGGTTTACTGAAGCATCAACTACTTCATAGATGGTATGAAGCAAGCTGGTGATGTCCTGGAATCAAAGATGAAACAAGCAGAGGGAGACAAATGCGTTAAGAACAGAAATAAAGAATGAGGTGCTTTTTCCCCGCTCAAAGAAAATCACTTGTTACTATTGACAATTCCACAACAATGCGTTTACATTCTGTGACATCACAGCAGCTCAATCAATGACAGAGTGTCTAGGAAAGAAGACGACGGCCAGTTTTGTGATTTACGGACGTAAGATGTCTGTTTCAAATGCTGTTATTGAGCAATTTGGGGGTTTCTTTTTGTTACAGTTAGCAAAAGTTATGTCCAAACTGTTTTAACTTACACGATGGCTCTTCAATTAATGAACTGTATTAATGACACAAATATCAGCTTGCCTCCTCATTGACACCAACCATACCCATTCACTTATCAGTTCTCTGTGTCCCTGGACTAATTCCAGGTACTTGAAGCCAATGAGATATTGATGCCCTACTTTGTGCAAGTATTGGGGGGCCTGCCATTCGAGAGCTTGCTTCAGTGCAAAGTCAGACTTTCACATGCTGACCCTGAAGCATCATCCATGCCAATTAAAAACCAAAAACCCATCTGGTTGTATCAGAGGAAGAAGTGAGACTGCAAGTGAGATTCCATAGGCTTGCGAGGTAACAATAATCTCTTGGTTCCTCCCTCTCTGAACTCCCTCCATGGCCAGCCATTCCATCTGGCTCAATCTGAGCTTCCTGCAAGGTGGCAGAGTCCACTCTATTGGCTCAGCTTTGCCCAACTACCTTCATTCGCATCCTTTCCTCTGAGTGCAGTAGAAGGAGAGAGGTGAGACATTCACCAGTGGCAACGTAAGACAGGAGGGAACTACCACCTGGCTAATCCTCTCCTCGTGTCTGTTAAACCCCAAGCAAATATTTTAAAACCATCATGTACATAAAGGTGCGCTGGCAGGAAGGCAGCGTACAGATGCAGGAATTAAATAAATAATCACATGAGCTCAGAGAAATGGAAAAGGTATGTTACAACAAGATATCCTCTAAACTTTTGCAGGAATGATCCTGCCAACGACATTCAACAAAGATCTGGTTGCTACTCAGAGATTCATCCCTTGATGAGGTGCCTGTATCAATTCATTGCAACCACCTTTTATTGGAGGTGTTGTTATAGAAGGGAATTCCATGAGTACTAAATGTTACATCTGAATGAGCTCCCCAAAATGTGTGTGTTTATTTTCCCAAGAGAATCTGACAAGTTTTAGGAAAGAATGGTAAAATTATAGCTGTCCAGTGCTTTGCCTGCAGAAGTTTTAGCTACTTTTTTTTTGCATGACATGCCAGAAGGCATTGAACCACCGGAGCAAATGGCTTTAAAGGAGATAAGACCTTGAGCCTTCGAGCCCAGAAAGGCAGGTTAATTAAAAGCCAAAAAGGTTCAATCTCTACTGTGAGTTATAACTGAAGTTAACAGAATGACTCCATATATACACTGGTTCTAACTTAATATATAGTATGCCAGTGTCCATCTATCCCACAAAACTGTTCCTTCAGTCTCAGCTCTGAACACACTGGGTGAGTTAAGTCTCTGGTCACAAGCAGGTACACACACACACACACAAGCAAGCAATATCATTCAAAATCTTCTGACAGCTTAGATCCATCCTTTTGACAACATATCCAAAATGTCAGCTAGCTGTTTGGTAGGAGACAGATGGCCATCTGAGCATTCTCACCTATCAGAAACTCCATTAACAAACCCAGCACCTCTAGAAACAAGGCTCCACAGATAAGAGGCAAACCCACTACACTGCTTACAAGGAATTTCGTTGAGGAACAGTGACAGCACACACGGGCAACACACCTCTCTTTGAAACCCCAATCTGTTTTCTAACACATCAGGTCAAAAAGTTCAGCACTTCACACATGACTAAGCTGAGAAGGTTTGGATGGTTGCAAATTACTTTGCTGCTCTTCAGCCATAGGTAGTCTCCACTGCCGGAAGGTCCAACTCAATCAACAGTTGTCCTGCATTCTGATTGTGTCATTGAGTTCTTGCCTAATCTTCTGTACCTCCAAGACACACATCATGTAATCTGCTATGAAAGTGAAGTTCTCTGTAGAATGGGGATACCTCAGTGGTACAGCAACTGCCTTGCATGCAGAAGGTCTCAGGTTCAATCTTAAGTAGCTCCTGAAAGGGCAGGCAATTCCCCCTGCCTGCAACGCCACTCCAAGTCAGTGTGGGCAATACTAGACTACATGGACCAACAGTCTGACTTGTTTTCAAACCACTGGCCCTGCTGGCTGGGACTGATGGGAACCGAGAGTCCAACAACTGGATAACTGGTTCCACATCCCTGAGCAACCCATTAGTAAACTGAAAGACCACTGAAAAGGGAGGAAAACTCCTCACTAGGCTGAAGATCTACATCAAGGATGGGTGGCTTATGGCCCTTCAGGTGTTGTTGGACTACAACTCCCATCATTCCTGACCATCAGCCATGCTGACTGGAGCTGATAGGCATTGGAGCCCAGCAACTGAAGGGCCACAGGTTCCCCATCCTTGACAAAGACTGAATGTGTGAATTTGGCTTTCACTGGCCAAATTATTATATAGCCATGGGTGGTGGGGTGGAATAGCATCGCACTACGGCCCTGTTAAGAACATAAGAAGTGCCTGCTGGATCAGGCCAGTGGCCCACTTAGTCCAGCATTCTGTTTTCACAGGGGCCGCCCAGATGCCTGTGGGAAGCCTGCAAGCAGGACCCCAGTACAAGAGTCCCCTCCCTTCCCGTTTCCAGCCACTGTTATTCAGAAGCATCCCTGCCTTCAACTGTGGTGGCATAGTATATCCATCATGCCTGGTGGCCACTGATAGATAGCCCTATCCTCCATGAACTTGTCTAATCCTTTTCCAAAGCCATTCAATGTCTTCACCATAATCATATCAAAAACCAACATGCTGAACCACAAAACCAGGATTCCACCTAAAGTTGATGTCTCGGTCGCAAAATTTGGGTTTATGCATGTGAGGTGTTTTCTTTCAACACATAAGTCCTGTAGAAATACATGAAATACTCACACTGGTGGTAGATGGAGTAGACTATGATCTGCTATTCCACCCCCACCCCCCGTAATGCATAAGGAGGTACATTTGTTAGGAGTGGCCCATTGTAAAGATGCTGTGTGCAGTTCTCTGACCATAATTAGATTCACAAATGCTTCAGCCTAGTTTCAAGGTGAGAACGCATTAACTGCTGTGCATTTTTCACCTCATTATATTTTATGGAGAAAACCGCTCTCTGACCTAACTGCACAATGTTTACAAGGATTTCCCTAATCTTGCAACACATATAATAATTACGTTACACTCATGTAATTTTCACACCAAGGTCAGATGTAGCATAGAAATCCTGCCAACCTTGCTTAGCCAAAAAAGCTACTCAAGACCATTAGGTCTACAATCTTATCCTTATTTACCTGGATGGAAGTCCTAATGAACCCAGTGAGGCTTACTTCCAAGTAATGGAATGTCCTCCCATCAGATGTCAAGAAGATTAATAACTACACAACTTTTAGAAGACATCTGTAGGCAGATTTTTAACGTTTGTTGTTTTTAACGTTTTTAATGTTTGTCGTTTTATTATGCTTTTATATTCTGCTGGAAGCTGGGGAAACCTAGCCAGATGGGTAGGGTATAAATAATAAAATTATGATGATTATTAAACAGTTTTAAGATTGGGCTGAGAGTAAATGTATTTTTCTTACAAATTCTATGTACTCAGAAGCATGTCCTATTGACTTCAATGGGACACACTCCCAAGTAAGTGCATATAGGATTGCAGTCTTAGACAATCGTTCTGTGGCAGTGTAGTAGTACCTCCAGCAAATAACTTTTAAAATCCATAGAAATAGCACCCTGAAATGCATTATTTTAAGAGAAATCATGTACATATTAGGAGAAATGCACAAATGTGTATGAAGTTTTGTGTGGATCTTCTTCAATAAAAGAAGCTAAAACTGAAAAAAGGAGAAACGTGTTTGTTTGTTTGTTTGTTTATTGTATTGTATTCATTGCATGTATATCCCGCCCTTTTCTCCAAGGAGCTCAAGTTGGTGCACATGGTTCTCCCTCTCATTTAATCCCCACAACTCTCTGAGCTTGGTTACGCTGAGAGGCAGGTATTGCCCCAAAGTCACACGGTGAACCCTGGTCTCCCGGGTCCTAGTCTGATACTCCAACCACCACACATTGGCTCTCACACACAAAAATGAGAGAAACCAAGATTGACTGGCTCTTCCATCCCTAACAGAATCTGGTCTAAGAGACCCCGTGTGGAATGGTGGTTAGCGTAAAAACATTAGGCTCAAATCAATAACAACCCCACCTTTTGGCAAATGTTGGAATCAGGCCTAAGGTAGATCAGGAAGAAAGCAGTGAGGGGATGTGAGATAGGAAAAGATGGAAGGAGAGAGGGAGAGGGAGGGGGGAGGGAGAGAGAGAGAGAGAGAGAGAGAGAGAGAGAGAGAGAGAGAGACCTGGTAAGTTGAAGCCTCAAGGCTGGCAAACTCTGTATGCTCTATTCCAAGTCTGAAGTCCAATTATTAACAACCATATGAAGCTAATTACAAGGCAGCTGTCAAGCTCCCTAAAAGCCTCTCGTGATATATAACGAGTTCATTTCTGCATGGCACAAGGAATGCTGGGAAGTAATATTAGCCAAGTTTTGCAGTTATATCCACATTACAGTGTGGAAAGTTATCTCCCTCTCACGCCAAAAAGACCATAAATGGCATTTTTTCCTTCTTCTCAGTCTTCTCACCCTGGACATTAATGACACTGTTTCAAGTACAGCGGCTGGATGCTAATTTTATAATTTGCCATCACATTAATTATGCTCCCGAGTACACGCCACAATCATTTCAAAAGAAGCCTGTTGAAGATCTGAACTTGGAAGTGAAAAAAGAAAAAATGAAGGGGGGGGGCGGGAGACCCAAAACACCACAAAAGAGGTATCTCAAGAAAACCATCAAAGTAGCATTACGTTTAGAAGGATCTTAAACAGAGGACTGCCGATCTCCAAAGAGTTTCCTTCTAAGATGGAGATTTGAGTACTTTTCATGGAGAATTTGTTATTACAAAAGCAAGTGCTTGAGTTAAAAGCGGGGGGGGGGGGAGCGCACACTCTTTTCCTTTAGGATTTTTTGGTCATTTGAGAGTACAGATGACATTTTGCCCCATGCATAACTTGTACTCTGTCTTATGTTCCAGTTAGTGATTTGGATACACAAAGAGCCTTTCCCTCCCTAAGGCTCTAAAGAAAAAGTGGCAATCAACAGTCCAGAATGCCTAACAGTAGAGAGGGTCACAACTCAACTCATTAAAAGAACACATGGGAGTGGGGGAGTGCTAGGCCAATTGGGCTAGCCCCATTTCAACGTGGGCAGCTACCACACCCACCAGGTGTAGCTGCTATGCCCATGAACCAATCTGTCCCCTGCTTGGCAGAAGTCTCTTTCTGCTTGTTTTTACTAGGCTGCCAAGAGGTTAGAAACCTTTGTTCCATAGTCAGCATGGAAACACAGGCTACATTATATTTTATTATCATCATCATCATTACAGGCTAGTAAATGTTGTTGACCGCTGGGAGGAGCACAGAAAGAAGAAACGCCATGTTACACCCGCAGCCGCACAACCGGATGCCTTCATCTGCCCCAGCTGGAACGAAACACGACTTTCCCAAATCAGTCTCTACAGCCAAAGCAGGCGCTGCAACACTCCAATGGTTTGACTTCACCCCCGAAGGCACACTCTTCCATGGTCTCCTGAGACAGACGGATGCCAATCAAATTTTGTTGGCTTATGTATCAGGCTGATGCACAGGCACATACTGCTAAAGCAAAGTGGGGAGAAGGCATGACGGAATTAAGAGCTGTGGCAATGTGAGCATGCCTGACGCTCTAATGCAAAATTCTGGAAAAAAGATTTCCACCGTCACACTTTGTAATTTGGAACACCAAAATCCAAGGAGAAGCAGAGTTTTCTAACACAGTTCTACAGTCTGTGCCAGGGGTGGGAAATGAAGGACAGAGGTGTGTGTGCACAGAAACTAGTCTAATATACAAAAGCAAAATCTACTTTCATTGCTTTGCCCACTTTTGGCCTTACCCAAAACTAGTAGGTGGCTCCTGGAAAGTTGCCCAGATGGGGATGAAAAGGGTTCCACGGCCCTGATCTGTGCATAAGTTTCCTGAGGGGCTTGCATGCCCCAAGACACCCTACGCTGTCTTCATCTGATTTATGGAAAGGCACCAGCTATATTTTGCTGCTTTGCAATTAAATCTGATGGTGGGCAGCCTGAGATTTGACAGAGATGGCAGTCTGGACCTCTGCTCCATACCTATAAATATGGTTGACTGACGTCGTTAATCTCCCTGGAAATAATTTCAAAAGGGGCACTTGCTATTTCAATAGCTCAGCTATAAAGGCAGGAGGGGAGCCAAAAGGAGCATATGTTTGCAAGGGTTTGTTTTGACACTCCGTTTAAAGTATCATTTGTTTGAGATTTTTATCCCTTCAAAAACAAGCCCCTTTAAAACGCCTTTGTTTTTAAATGGCTAATCCCCGGCATCAAAACGACGACATGCTTAACAAAACAAAATAGCGCAGGGTATTCCAAAAGCAGGAGATTTCAAAGCTGCTTCACGTGCAGGCGTGGCGTGGCTGCGAAATCAAGCGACGACTGAACATATACAAATGGCCTGGCACAGATCACGTAAAGCCACAGAGCCCTTGAAAGCATAACACTTTCCTCATGGTCCCAGCGCACGCATTCAGCAACCAGACATGGAATTACAGCAATGGGTGAAGGAAGCCTGCTGCTAAGGGCCCCAACTGTACTACACATTTAAGGTACGATTATACCACCTTAAACAGTCAACTAGAATTAAAATTAAAAATAAAATAGCAATAAGGCAGCCCAAATAAGCAAAGGAGAACAAGAGAAGGGCAGACTAAAAATGAACTGGGCCGTAGGCCAGCTGGAAGTAGTGTTGAAACATGTAGGAGCCAAGTGGAACTCACAGGGCATGGAGCTCCGTAACCTGGGGGCTACCAGAGAGAAGGCCCCTTCTCAGACTGATCCTGGTGCCCTTCAAGGGCAGCCCCACACAGAGTGTGCAGGAGCAATCAAGTCTAGAAGTAGGCAATGCATGTATAACTGGGGCCAGATCCATTTCTTCAACTAGTCATTTTGTTCTTCTACAGTTCTGGCTTTTCCGTTCCTACTTTGTCCAGGTTTCCTCATCCACCAGTTTTCTTGGGCAATCTCCCCGCACTTCACACAAAGCCTTTCCTGATCTCAAGTGGTATAAAGTTTCATTTATACCCTGCTTTCTCACACAAATACCCCAATCCCCTGAGAACGTACCACAATATCACACTAGCTCAGCCAGAGGCATCCTTGCCCCAGAGCAGTATGGTACAAACCACTCCCCTTGTTAGCAAGCACCACACATGTAACAGGAAGCTAAACTTCGCTCACCTCACGCGTGACTCTGCCATTGTTGTCGAAGTCATAAAGCGTGAAGGTCCACTCTTGCCTGTTGTCTTCCTCAACGGACACATCACATTGCAATTCCTAAGGAACATGCAAAGAGTAGCTGATTACCTAAAGCAAAAGTCCTATTTGCAGAGGAGGCTAACTTCCTCTTTAAAATATATTTTAAAAATAAATTCAGACAACAGTTGTTTTTTTTCTTCTTCTTTTTTAAAAAAATATTTCTCCCCCATGCCCACCCAACAACCTGGCCCCTCTAGACAGCTCCCTGTAAGAATAATAGAAACAGTCCAACCATAGCAATAAAAACAGGAGATCAAGGAGATGTTGGTGGAGAAAGGAAGTTCCTAAGTGCCATGCAAGTGTATGACTGCTGATTGGCTACCACACAAACACACTTATGGTAGCTAGCCAATCAGCAGCCATGCAAGCACATGAGTATCAGCAAGGGTGGCGAGCCCATCAGCAATAATGTCTTTGGGTGACACAGGCTGAGGTTCCCTTGCTTCTTCCATCACCACCTGGGATCTGGTAAGGAAGACCATTCCTCTCATTGACTGCGCAGAAGCAGTGGCTAGCAGTTCTTTCCAGAGAACCATTTCATCAGTCAATTCAAAGTTCAGAAATTGGCAGCAGCATTAAAAACTCAAAGCAATACACAAAATGTCCTTCTGAGAAGGCCTTCTGAATAACTGCTCAGTTTCTAGAAGCCTGAAAGAGTTGAGTCCAGCAGGCCTTTTGAAGGATGGTGTTCCACAGAGGTGCCACCAGTGAAAAGGCCCTTCACCTTGAAGTTGGTGCCCGCCAGATCTTGTTGGCCTACAAATACCACCAGCCCCACATCTGGCAAGTCTGGTGGTCAGGGCAGCTGCGAACTGCAGCCCCACATTATTCAGAGGGCACCAAGTTGGGGAAGGCTGAGCTAAACAGTTGAAACTTGCACTGAGCCAAAAGCTCAAGGACCTGAACTTTCAGCTTGAATTTTCTGTGGGGCAAAAGGGGTGCCTGAAACTGTATGGGAGGCTTAAGGGGGATGGATTTTCCCCAAAATGACTCTCCCCTCTTCCCATTTTTTGTTTCCACCTGCAGACCATGCACACACCCCTGAATTGAAAAACAGACCTTCCATTTCCACCACCTGCAACTAGGGTGGTATTTGGCTCAGTACTAATTGAAACATGCACTTTTTAAAATTCTGGAAAGTGGCACACAGGTGAATAGGGGTGGGGGAAAGCCCCAATGGGTCAGTCTTGATCCCCTCCCCCTAGTTGGTTAGCAACCTTAATGGTAACAATATTGAGACCCCATTTCCCGTATATTCTGCTGAGCAGGAGAGGAAAGGCATTCAATAGTGCTCCTTGTCTATTTCCCTTGGGCTAAGACTCTCAGAGAATTTGAAACATTTTTTTGGTTTCATTGAGCAAGAAGACGAAACTATGTGAAAGCTACTTACTAAAATGCCTGAAAATATAATGCGAGATCCTCCAATTTAAAAGAGAGAGAGGGAACAGTGAGAAGAAAAACCTCTCCTTAATTCAAGGAGGAAAAGTGAGACACTCTCAGCATGAGGCAGGATAAAGTTGAAACAGAAGTGACCATTAATAGAAAATAGACCCGTGGCATAAACCCATTTCAGAAAAACCCCTTTCGCAACACAGATTTTTCAATGTAGTATTAATTCCGGCTCTCCCTTATAACTCATTAAAGCATTACATCTGTTGAAGTAGAACCCAATTTGGAATTAATAAAGGGGGGTGAAAAATTCTTGCCAACCACAGCTACTTTACGCAATCGTTTGAGAGCTGGCTTATGGTGAAAACGTTAAAAGACAATTAGAGCACACAGCAAGGTGGTTACATACTAAGGGTCCAATCCAGAGCCTCTAAAACCAAGGTTGTTATTCAAACATAATCTCTGCAAACTGTCAATAGGAAACAATGAAAATTTTCTGTAGCAGCTAATTAGATTTTTACGTGCCAACAACTGCAGCTGGGTTTGGGGTAGGGGACATACAGCAAATATTTTTAAAGAGTGCTTTTAAACCCAACAAATGCTTTCTGTCAGAACGATGCTCCTTAAAAATTAGTTCTGATCCTGTAATCAGCAAGAATCAGGGTACCAACTTTTTTTCTCCACAACAGACAAACCAGCTTAAACAAATTAGATGTGTATTCATGGAGGATGTGGCTCTGTGTCCAATAACTGATGACCAGGAAAGCAGCAGCAAGAGCAAGCGATAAGAAACTCCCCTGAGGAAAGGTTGCAGCATTTGAGACTTTTTAGTTTAGAGAGAAGGCGAGTAAGAAGTAACACAATGTTAATTTATAAAATTGTGCATTGCAAAAAGGAGAAAAGGTTCCTCCCCCATAATTCTGGAACGTGTGGACATCCAAGGAAACTGAATGTTGGAAGGTTCAGGTCAGGCAAAATAGAGTACTTCCTTCATTCAGTGCCCAGTTAAACTATGGAACTCCATCCCACAGGAGGCAGTCCATGTCCATGAACCTGGATTGCTTTAAAAGAGGACCAAGCAATTCATGGAGGATAGGTAAAAAGGTAAAGGACCCCTGGACGCTTAAGTCCAGTCAAAGGAGACTCTGGGGTTGCGGTGCTCATCTTGCTTCAAGCTGAGGGAGCCGGTGTTTGTCTGCAGACAGCTTTTCCGGGTCATGTGGCTAAACCACTTCTGGCGTGACAGGACAGTGATGAATGCCATGGAAGCGCCGTTTATCTTCCCACCACAGCAGTACCTGTTTATCTACTCACACGGGTATGCTTTCAAATGGTTAGGTTGGCAGAAGCTGGGACAGAGAAACAGGATCTCACCCCATTGCATGGATTCGAACCGCCGACCTTCCGATCAGCAAGCCCAAGAGGTTCAGTGGTTTTGACCACAGGACCACCCACTCCCTTATCATGGAGGATAAAGCTATTGATGGCTACTAGCCACAATGGCTATGTTCTTCCTCCACGGAGGCAGTAATGCCTCTGAATACCTTCTGATAGAAGCCACAGGAAGAGGATGTGCTCTTGTGCTTGGATCCAATTTGCCACTTTCACAGAGGCCTCTGGTTGGCCACTGTGAGAGCAGGATGCTAGACTTAGGCAGGCCACTGACCTGATCCTTCAGGTTCTTCTTAAGTTCTCAATGGCTCAGCATCCACTGCCAAATTGCGTTTACCTCAGAGATTGCCCTCAAGAACCTAAAGGCTGACTGATAGTGACTTGCCAAAGTCCACTTTGCCAGGTTAGATTTAAAACAAGGTCGTCGCAGTTCACAGGCTTCCTGGTCGGCGGTGGCGGCGGGGTGGGGAGGGGGACATTGAGCAAATTAGTCTGCTTGGCTTACAGCCCCCCTCCCCAAATTTCTGTAAGATGCTCACCTTCCTTCTTTCAAGGCTCCCGCGATCAGAGTCAGCAAGAGTTGCAACACAAGCCATGGGGGCAATTAAAAGAAAAGTCGTTGCACGCAAGTAAAATAAACAGCTCCAAATAGCTCTGGCATGATGGGAGCTCAGAAATACCTGCTTGATCTGCTGACTTGAAACCAATTCCCTACAGCAGTTAACGGTAAAGCCCCCCGTCCCCCGCTGAGTTCAAAGGCAGTCTTCTCTTAGCTGTAACAAGCCCCGGCTGAAAGCTGCCAATGTACCCCCCCCCCCGCCTGCAAACTTGACAGTGGAAACTGAGTTTCGTATTACACAAACATTCCCAGGAACCTTTAAAAGCCAAGGCACATCCACCACCTCAGATTTAGACCTCTCCCTTCTCGACAGTCACATTTCAGATTCTTTTGTACCCGGTCATGAAACGAAAAAACGTTTACCATCCTCTTAGCCCCTTAGCTTACACGATTCGGAAGCTTTGATTTGGAATACAAGTGGATACGTGCCTGTGAATATCTCAGTGCCTGGGCCTCTGCCACGTAAGAACAACTTTCTCTGTCCTGCACTGCCTAAAACTCACAAGCTTTCCTTTGTGCGTGTGTGAGGACGTGCCACTCCGCGTTAACAGCTGAAACAGGCAACTTATTTCCTTTGTTAAATAACAGGGGTTTGTGCCGATCGCTTGGCTTTGCAGGGTGCCTGTGGCTAAAGCAGAGTTCCAGATAGCAAAATTGTTGGTTCTGGACAACCTACTGGCATTACCTCGTTCATATGGGAGTATAAGGCACCACAGAATTCAAATCAGGGACACTGGCTGCAATGTCCAAGAACTTTACTCCCCACACCTCTTGGAAGAGAAAGGTGTTGGCCCTGAACTTTCCTGCTCTACAGCACCACCAAGGTGCTGCAACTTGTCCACCCGGCCAGACCAGGAGATCTGGGGAGCCAATAGGAGCCTGCCTGAAATTGTGTAACTGTTGTTTCTGCTTGGTCAGAATTGGAGAAAATTGTCAGAAAGAGCTTCTGATTTGGAACCAGGGCATCTGCTTGAGCTGGACTATATATCTGACCCTCTGAACTGATGGTGTTCCAGCCTGGGTCTTCCACATTGGTACTCAAAAAGTTCAAGACGGCCATTAAAAATAAATGAATAATTCTATATATAGCTGAGCTGAAACTACTCAATTTTTCCAGGGACACATTTAGCCATGCCAATCATCATCACCACCACCACCATCATCATCATCTCCTACTTTTCTGTTATCCTCACTTGTGCTTAGTGATGTCATCACACAGCCATAACTGACTGGCCACACAATATGACATCATCCTACTCACTGCACAATTCTTGATTAGTTGGGATCACCTAAGTAACTCTTCAAGGAAGAAGGTGAAAGCAGCAGCCGGGGATTAGGGGGTTGGTAGAAATCACACTGAAGAAGCAGTAACCAGGCCCAGAGGCAACAAGGGTGCCAAATAGGATGGGTTTTTTTTTTCAGAAGTCAAGCATTTGCTCCATCTAAAAAACTTCCCTAGAAGAATTTGTGTCCTACTGAAATTTGCTAGCTGCTCCCTAAAAATAAAAATCAAAAACTGGAGACTACCCAGAGCACCTATAAATTATGATCATAAGAATGAATTTCTTGACAAACTGATGATGCTCAGTTCACCATCAACCTGGAGATAACACATGTGCTGTTTCAACAACATTGAGGTGCATGATTCTCTATTATTATTTTTTTAATCTGTATACTGTCTCTATGGAGACTGGCAGCCTTTTAGTCTGGATGACGGCATATCTGGGTGCTCCTGTTTATTAAATCCCTTTCTTCATGAGCAAAGCTTGCCAATGGCGAACAATGTCTGGCAGTTTTATGTTGCTTGTAAGTCTACAAGGAAATAGGCCATCAGACTCATTCCTGGCAAGACCTTTTCCTCCTCACCGCCTGTCTTAATCAGATGGATTTCCAGTGCAGCTAGGTCAAGGTTGGATCACCCTGGGGGCCCAGAGATGAAAGACTTTTTGCAAGTTTTTTTCCCCACTAGGAAGTGTATAACAAAAGAGAGAGAGGGAGAGAAGATAGTAGACTACAAAGGAAAACAAAATTAAAAAGAAAAAAGAAAAGAGCCCACATACAGCACAGAAACGCAATCAGGCCGGTAGAGGAACAGCAAAATAGCACATGAAAGGAAGGAAGGAAGCATTAAGTGTTTAGGATAAATGGTTCACAATATGTGGGGTTGTCCTGGCACACATTCTGATCCCTGGGGGTAGGTGTCAACATTCCTCATCTCCCAGCACATCCTCAAGCTCTTGGGCTGCTCCAAAGCTTCCTTAGCCCTCATGGCTTATCCCACTGACCTTCCAATTGTAACAGATTTTCCTTCCTGCACCCTACTCAAGGGCCAGCAGCAATGGGCAGTATGGTTGGGCACATGCCTAGGGTGCACACCCCAACAAGGGGCTCGCTGGCCACCCACTCCGTGGACCTCCTTCTCCTCTGCTTGCTCACTTGCCTCTCACTCTGGCCCAGAATAGTGGTGTGGAGGAAGAGGAACAGGAGGAGATGTCACGTCACTGCTTGCTCTTTGGCCCTCAAGACTCGCTAGGGAGCAGGAGGTAGAAATAAGGACGAAGAAGAAGAACAAACAGATGGAGCAGCTGGGGATAATGGTAGTGTGGAAATAACATTTGCTGAGGGAGTGGTGGGGAGGCTCCATGAAGGGTTCTTGTCAAAGATCCCTCTGAAACCTGGAGCCAACACTGCCCCATTGCCACCAAGAGTTTAAAGCTCCACCCTTATATGTAGATAAATATTTATTGCATTTATATCCTACCTATTTTCTCCAAGGAGCACAAGGTGGTGTGCACAGGTCTCCCCCTTCTCTTTTAATTCCTACAACAACCATGTGAAGTAGGCTAGGCTGAGAATATTTCAATAATTAACAACAACAACAACCAATTATCTGCCTCACAGGGTTGTTGATAAAGACAAAATGTTCTTTGGATACGGCAAATTTAATTAATGGCCTACAACAGGGGTCGGCAAGGTTTACCTCACCTGGGCTGGTTCACTCTGGTGGAGATCCCTTCGCGGGCCTTAGCACACACGCGCAATTTCCAGCATCGGCATCTGTGTAAGCGCATATGTCATTTCTGGCGCCGCGGAAGCGAGTTCCCGTGCTGCGCTGTGCCAGTTTAGCACAGTGCGCGGGGGCTCACCGAGCGGGCGGCTCGTGGGCTGGTTAAACGACCCCCGTGGGCTGCTTGTGCCCATGGGCCTTAGGTTGCTGACCCCTGGCCTACAACTATACATGTCTATTCAGGAGTAAATGCCACCAAGTTCAGTGCTGCTTATTCCCAGGTATGTGAACAGTCTCAGGAAGTATAATTTGATTAAGCAGTCTCAGGAAGTATAATTTGATTAAACATGAAGCAGACCAGGTCTTGGACACTTAGAAGCAGGGCAAGAGGTAAACAAAACTTCAGTAAAACAGCACATATTTCTTATCTAAGGCTATGTCACTATTTGATGGAATAGCCATATCTTAAGGAGCAATCTACAAGCATTAGGAAACAGAGACTGAAACCCATTATCTTACAATGTGAGAAACTATTTTCAGGTGCCTTCAACCACCTTCTGTGAACTCATTGTTAGCCTACTTAGCTGAAGTAGGAGAGCTGCATTACTCTCATGCATATAAGCAACACGGAATACTACTGATGTTATTTATCTCATCTTCCAATGTACAGGCTGCTTTTTCCAAGCAAAAGTGGCAGCGATGGGGCTCTGGCTTTTGCTCCAAAACTGATGGCCAGGAAAGCAGCAGAGTGAACAAGATATGATAGAAACTCCCCTATGAGGAAAGGCTGCAGTATTGGGGACTTTTTAGTTTGGAGGGAAAGTGCTAAGAAATTTATAAAATTATGCATGGCATGGAGAGAGTGGGTAGAGAAAAAGATTTCTCCTTCGCTTATAACACTGGGACTCATGGACTTCCAATGAAGCTGCATGTTGGAAGGTTCGTGACAGGCAAAAGAAAGCACTTTTTTATGCAGTGCTCAAACTATGGAACCTGCTCCCACAGGAGGCAGTGACGACCATCAACTTGTATGGCTTTAAAAGAGGACTAGACAAATTCATGGAGGATAAAGGTATCAATGGCTAATAGCCATGAAGGCTATGCTCTGCCTCCACAGTTGGGGGCAGTAATGTTTCAGAATACCAGCTGGGGAAAATCACAGGATGGGAGAGAGCTATTGTGCTTGGATCCTGCTCACCCATTTCCCACAGGCATCTGGTTACACCTGTAAGAACAGGATGCTGGAGTAGATGAGCCACTGACCTGGTCCATCTGGCTAATAATAAATAATAATAATGCCCACCTGGCTGGGTTGCCCCAGTGACTCCTTTCTCATGTTCTTAACTGAAGAGAGGAACAATGTGAGTGTGGTACTTTTTAATTCTGTTTATGGTGAGCATGCTACAATTTCACTTGTTTGTTAAATTTGGAAGTCACTTTTCCATGAAATGGTGCTCAGAGTGGCCAGCAATAACACATACTGAAGCTTGCCGATGCAGCCAGAGTTGATGGTTGAGTACAATTGGAGCTGGAGGGGCTTTCCCAGTGTTGTATCTAGCCAAGTTCTTCTCAGTATGAGCCCACTGAAACTGATGGACCTAATTCAGTTGTGTCCAGTAACCTCAGTGGGTAAACTGTGAGTAGAACCAACAGTGGATACAGTGTTATGTTATGCAAGCCCGTTGGGAGTCTCCCTCCCAACAATGCATGCCATTGAAATGGTCAGGTGCCACATACAATGGGTGGGGCTTCCATCTTGACTTCTTAGCCCAGGCTATACTGGCCCCAAGACATCACTGAAACAACTTTATCTTCATCCCCGGCTGCAAGACCACCAATTGTGGTCCTGCACCATCATTTTCATCCTCCTCCAAGGTCCTGACCTTGCTTTACCTTCCAGAACCTTGGGCCTCCATATGCTATTGCCACCATCACCTTCCTTCGCTTCTTGCCATCACGATTGATCAAGACATAGAGGGAGAGGCTTTAGTCATGGACATTATTTATCTCAGGGCATCGCAGTGATAAGTGTGCCTAGGGAGAGAAAGAATAATGTCCTTACCTCAAATTTTAGCTGCTTCTTGACATTGGTACGTGTATCAGTTTCCTTCTCCACTTTCTTTTCATCGCCACTGCAAACTCCATCTGTCTTCTCTGGAGGCAAAGCCACTGGGGGAGGTGGGAGAAGAGAGAAATTCAGAAGACTGCCTTTAGTCACTTGACACATCAAGACACCTCATTATTCTGCGATTTCAACTCAAAACTGGGTTCTCAACTAATTTTGTACACAAATATGTGGAGTAATTGTTTTATGTGAAGTTCTACTGAAAGGTTGAGTCTACAGAGTCATTGGTTTAATGTCTGAAAATTCTATTTGAATGCTAACAAAATACACCACCAGTACAGCATCATCTTCGATTAAAATGCCCTCTGGGCAATGAAGCAGGAACCAAAGAACTTACACACCCAACAAAAAAAGAAAATGAAAATACAGCAGATTAATTAAGGAGAAATGAAGTCTTAAGAACCGAGATATCCCTTCCTTTTGTAAACCGCTTTGAGGTTTATAGTTTTTTAAAAACAAGTTGTATATACATTTTGAGAGAGAGAGAGAGAGAGAGAGAAAGAAAGAAAGAAAGAAAGAAAGAAAGAAAGAAAGAAAGAAAGAAAGAAAGAAAGAAAACTGTGCAGCATCTTGTTCAGCATCTTCTAGATCAAAACAACATTCTGACAGGACAATATTTGCTCTCCATTCCTTTTTCATGTTACATCAGCACTGATATCATACTAAGTATAGTGCAAACCACAGATCATATACCTGATTCTAACTATGGTTGCACACTGTAGTTTTAATGTAAACTGTTGTTAGTTTTAAATCTGAACCATTGTGTAATACTGTGCCATGGCTAAGTCTGAAAACGGAAAGGTGGAATTTGCACTTTTCACTTTTTTTTCAAATTTGCTATAAAGTATTAACTTTTATGACATTGCAAAATATTAATTCACTCGTACAACAGTATTTGTCAAGCCTATAATGGATTTTTAAAACAACAACAACAACCAGACTGATGCCAAAATTTTGCTCTTCTGCCAATCTTAAAATAAGATTCTTCATTCAGGCACAGAGAACAAACCCGATGGAGCATAAATACTCCCAGTTTCTTAAACATCACAGTTTAATCTTTCGGCATATTTGGAAAGATTAAATTAAACATTGAAGTAACAATTCCTAGTAGGGACGCGGGTGGCACTGTGGGTAAAACCTCAGCGCCTAGGACTTGCCGATCGTATGGTCGGCGGTTCGAATCCCTGCGGCGGGGTGAGCTCCCGTCGTTCGGTCCCAGCTCCTGCCCACCTAGCAGTTCGAAAGCACCCTTAAGTGCAAGTAGATAAATAGGTACCGCTTTCTAGCGGGAAGGTAAACGGTGTTTCCGTGTGCTGCGCTGGTGCAGGCTCGCCAGAGCAGCTTCGTCACGCTGGCCACGTGACCCGGAAGTGTCCTCGGACAGTGCTGGCCCCCGGCCTCTTAAGTGAGATGGGCGCACAACCCTAGTGTCGGACACGACTGGCCCGTATGGGCAGGGGTACCTTTACCTTTAACATTTCCTAGCAGGTGAAAACTGTCTCAGGATCAATTAGATCCTTAAAATCGGGGTGGAGAGCAGATATGGAGGGAGGATGCAGAAGGGAAAACATGCCATATAAATGACTTGGAAATACTTTTTTAAAAATACTGAATGCAGGTTGAATACTGAATTTTCTGCTCATTTTACCTGAGATCGGGTTGCTAGGGGACTGTTGCCTTTAAAACTCTCCTTTGTATTTCAACATACTGAGCACTCCAATTTCAATTGGAGAGTCGCTCTCTTTCTATCTTGTTTTAAACAAAATCACATAAATATCCGTGTATAACTTTATTATTTATTTATTTATTTCCTGCCATTCAGCCTAAGGTCTCAGGGTGGGCTACAAAATTAAAACACACAATATTAAGAACAGCTTGAACAACTTACAAACACAAAAATAAATTGGGTTCTAAAAATATACACCTTAAGAGTCAAAAGCCAGAAAAAGGGCTGGTGTCCACGTGCCTCATTGGTCCCTCCCTGCCCGTGCAGAAATAGGACATGAAAGAGTCCAAAGGCCTTAACAAAAGGGCACACTGGATCAGCGAGCAGAGACTTGACCTGATTGCTGTGCAAATTAATATACAGTGGTATCTCTGGTTATGAACTTAATTCGTTCCGGAGGTCCGTTCTTAACCTGAAACCATTCTTAACCTGAGGTACCACTTTAGCTGATGGGGCCTCCCGCTGCCACTGCCGCCGTGCGATTTCTGTTCTCATCCTGAGGTAAAGTTCTTAACCCGAGGTACTATTTCTGGTTTAGCGAAGTCTGTAACCCGAGGTGTTTGTAACCCGAGGTACCACTGTACTTGGGATTGGGGGGAGCAGCATGGCAAGCCCCCTCGGTCCTGTTACAAAGAAAGCTGAAGGAACCGGAAGCCACAAAACTACCTGGGCGTTGCTGATTACATGAATTGCTGCTCTGAGCTTGTGGCACTCTTTGTCTAGAAGGGAATACAATAAGCATGGACAGCTGTTGGATTCATAGTTGTTTATTAGGGTCGGGGTGCGATATTACCACATTCTATTTCCCCAATGTATACAATTGGGCAGTTTCTTGTTCAGGCACCAGTTAGGTGTGGTCAGAGTCAGTGTACTGGAAATTGTAGATATGAGAGTTCATGTTTTATTACTGGAGTTTACCTTTGAAATGTGCACTTCCCCTAATTTTGTAATGCTGCTCTTCAGACACATAATGTGTACAAAAATTCATATATTAGCGTAAATTGTGTGTGTGTGCATGTGTGCACATATGCTAGTGAAAATTACATTCCAAAATGCATTATAAATGGGGAAATTGCTTTGCAAAACTTTGCCTATTAGGGAAAATGGCATACAAAAATGTGTACATCAGATGAAATTCACTGATGAATTTTCATGAGGACATCACAAAATATCACAAACCGATGTGGACATGTGGAGAACTAAACTTAAGAATGGAAAAATGTGAAACTGAGACAAACCGAATTGGACAGAAACCCCGATCACTAAACGGAACAAAAATGTACTGAAAGCAGCTATTAAATAAAATGTGGATACTTGTCTGGGAGAGTTAAAACCATAAACTGAGAAACACCGTTGAGCTACATGCCAGAGTTCAGCTACACACAATGAGAACTTCCACCAAGAATCTTGCCAACAATATTAAATCTGTCCAGACTAGACTGCTATCTTAAATAAGAGGAAAGCATTAAAAGGCTCCTGTTTCCAGTGTCTGAGACGTTGGAAAAAGATCCATGGACAGTATCATTACTTGAAAAATATCCATTGACTTCCTCTTCAGATGCCAACTCCCCACCCCACCCCAAGAAGCACACTGTTGGTCATAAGACCTTGGCCTTGCAGTTACGGAAAGCCATAGTTTGCTCCTTATGGGAATAACGGCAGGCAGAATCCAAAGATCCTATTTTCAACAGTCATCTACTTTGTGACATTGGAGGCTGGTGCTACAGAGACACAAACTCAAGGCCAGGTCCCAACTTGAAGAGACCATTGAGATGGTCTCCCTTAAAGTTGCAAGGGGAGGCACAAGCTAATTTAAAGTGAGGAAGCATGGAAGAGTAGTTAGTAGGCTTTTCCAGCTTTATTTGTATATGTCTTGAGCCCTGCAGAGACGTCAAGAGGTCTAGAGTCCAATGATCTCAGGGACAACACGAGAACATAAGAGCTTCCTGGATGAGGCCAATGGCCCATCTAGTTCAGCATCCTATTCTCACAGAGGCCAACTAGATGCCGGTGAGAAATGGGCAAGAGGTACCCAAGCACAAACACTTTCTTTATATGAGACCAACCTTTCTTAATAGGAGAGGGTCCTAGTGGGTTAGGACAGGACCTCATTCTGTCCCCGGGAACCCTCAAGAGTTGCTAGAGGAAGTATGCTGGGCATAGAGTTGTCAGGGAAGGGGCCTGTTCTTGTGTCACCTGATGCTTCTGACCAGCCCTCTTCCATGCAGGCACCACCTCCGCCTCCTGTCAGTGATCTTCCATCTGCAGAGGAGGCGTTGGTTAACAAGTCTAGCTCTGAGCCAGTGCTGCCTCGTCCTGCATTTCCTAGGACATGAAAATGTCAGTTCTGGCATGGACAGACAGTCCAAGCCCAGCCTACCCAACGAAGTATTTGAGTCTCCAACAGCAGCAGTGAGTTTTATGTAAAATAATCCTTGTCATCTCCTGGGGGCTTCAAGAAGTCTCTCAAGGTGACTTAATGGAGATTAATTACCACGTAGAATGTTTTAAAAGATGCCTGTGTGTTGGAGCTAAGGAATCTAACATGGAACCAGCAGGCTCTGAAGGGCCCACAGACACCTCAAGACCCCAAGGTCCTCAAGACCTGTGCAACTAGCCTTGGATTGTGAAGTTGACCTTTAGTTACACCATGGCCAGATTGAAAGGGAAGTGTTCAAACAAAGAATTTGGCACCCACTTGCGTAAGCCATCTGAGCTTATGAGGAACTTCCACTGGCATGCACCTCTCTTCCACCAGTCACTGCTTAGGATGTCTACTGGGGCCCCTTGAAGTTATCGAAGCCTATGCAAGCAAAGACAGCAGAGGGGAACGTTTTTGCAGTACAAGGGCTTCATTTCCTTCTGGGCAATGTGCTGAAAGCCTTATTACAGTGGTGGGCGGAATCAGAGGCAAAAGTGGGTGGAGCAAAACATGCAAATTTTACCTTTGTACCATAGGCTCTCTCCTACACAACCATCATCATACAAGCAATAGGCATTATCAGGGTTTAAAAGCATTTTCAAGCCAGGCAAAAACACTTAGGGTACAAAGAAAGGGCCAGTGGGATGTGAGCCCTGAGGAGAGTTCCAGGGGCCAGATAGATATGCATGGAGGGCACCATTCAGCCCCCAGGCCTGAGGTTTCCCACCTCTACAGGTAAGAGAAATTCCTGAATTGAGCATCCTCTCCCCCCTCCCACTGCCCCCCAATACTGCCAAACAGGGCCCTTTCTTCTCATTTTTATTCAAAATTATTAGTGCGTCTCTGAAAAACATTGCATTTGTTTCTTCACAGTGTCCCTTTTCTCTGACTTTTTG